TGAAGGAGAATTGTGCTCTCTGACAGCTGTTGAGGCCAGCATCTGGAATTAAGGAACTATCTGGACTGTACTTCCTCTACAGATACTAAGCAGCATCCTTTCCTTTCCTTTCCCGCTGGCTACTGATTTTCCTGTGGCTGCACAGATAGAGTCCCTGCTTCTCTCTTCACATCACTCCTTTTATGTATGTCCTTGGGGAACAAGAATGTGCCCCCAGCAACCTATGTAGGAAAGGCTTGCCTCTCAGGAGATAGAGGAACCCTTTAAGAGGTAGAACATAGTGAAGGCTTCAGATCTTTGGGCCTTGAAGGGCCTAGTGGGACCCCACTCTCTTCTCATCTCATGAGGTAAGGGGCTTAGCTCCTCCATCGTGTACTAGCTTCATGATGTGAAGCCACAGGCCCAGACCACAGAGGTCAACCAATCAAAGAGTGACCCCTCTAAAATGTTAACCTGAACCAAATCTTTTACCTTCAAGTTGATTTATCTATGACATTGGTTCTATTGATAAACACTCAACAAAGATCTCTCTTTAAAAAATAAATGAATCAATGATAAATAAACAAATGTGTCATTAGTTTGAAGCTTCACTTTGATAATCTAAGCTGACCTCATCTTAAGATTCTTCTTATCTTGATTTTATCACAAAAGTCTCCCTCTCTAAATCAAATTACATGAATATGTCCTGAGGATTGGAACACCTGGATGCTTTTTCCATCACTTAAGCCTCTATATCAGTGGTTGTCAACCTTCCTAATGCTGTGACCCTTCAATACATTCATGTTGTGGTGCTCTCCCAACCATGAAATTATTTTCATTGCTACTTCATAACTGTATTTTTGCTACTATTATGAGTTGTAATGTAAACATCTGTGTTTTCTAATAGTCTTTGGCAACCCCTGTGTAAAGGCCATTTGACACTCCCCAAAGAAGCTGTGATTCACAGATTGAGAAGCACTTCTCTATATCCTCCTGGATACGTAGACTATGAAGGGATCCATCTTAATAAGCTGGTAAATATTCAGTTTAGGGCCTGCTTCTCCCATAAGTCCCTGACTCCTGCCTCTTGTCACTTGTTGGCTATTTCCACAAGCGTGTGTGCTAACCCTTTGATTAAATGTAGATTTTTAAATGGGCCACCACTTAGCTCATGCTGCTCCCATACATCAACACTCGGTCCAGTGTGGCCTCTTAGCATCGCCCATCTTCCAGGGCACCAATTCTGTCCTTCTTCTGCTAAAAGGCCTTTGGTGAATCCTGGCCTACAGGTAGGGAGATGAAACTCCAAGCTTTTCGAGAGACACAGTGTTAGCCCTTTAGTTTCTGAATTACCAGGCAGCCCAAGGTCCTACAGGAATGGGGGAACACTTTAAATTTTCCAACAACCTCATGTGGAGGTAAAGATGCCAAATCAGTGGCCCTTCACTACTGGGTCCCATTGAACATTCCCACAGGCTCAGATGGTTCCCTATACTGTTCCCCATACCACTCCAAAGTACTACTCAGAAGGATTTGCTGGCCTTTGAACATACCTTTGTTAAAAATTCCCACAAGTATTTTTCTTTCCTTGTGTTCAGATCAACCTAAATACTCTTCCCATTTTTTACTAACAACTAAAAATGATGTTGTCCTGTAAGACTTAATTGGTAGAGACCACCTATTCTTAGGTTGCATTCTTTATTTCAAACCTGTAAATGCCACTTTATGGGCAGCTGATTCTGAACAGCCTGTGGTATTTCTATTGTCATTACAAATTGTTACTCAGACCTTCAGTAACCTGAACGCATCTCCTCTCCTCTGTGTGTTAGCTCCTGAGGGGCTGAGCATCACTGCGCCACCCACAGAACTAGCAACACTCTAAAGCACTTATTAATCAGGTTGGAGATGGGAACCCAGGGACATAGGTGATCCCTGACCTCCCTTTGCACAGGTACCTACCCCAAATCCTTCCCTCACCCAAGACCTGCCCCCTCCCCTGGCTCAGTGTCCTCATGAAAAACACCCAAGATTTGTTATTACCTTGAACTTTCTCTGACCTTAAACCTCCTTGTCCAGTTTCTTTCCTACTCAGTGTATTAAACTAGCTACCTGGTTAACTAACCCGTGTTGGTAGAGTTACAGGAGAAACTAGAGGAACGTTAGGAGACAAGTTTACTTTAACCAGAGTGGGGCAGCCACAACATGCCTGCTTTTATGGTGCTCTAGGGGAGTCAGGATTCAAGTGGTAAGCGACCCCTCCTCCTGGCTCCCATTCCATTCTGTATGTACCTCTTGCTGTAGCGCGGCACATTGCAGTTCTTTTATCGTGTGTGTATGTCTGTTTCCCCCACTGCAGACTGGGAACTCCTTCAGGATTTGGGGCTATTCGTTAGCCAGAGATGTAGCACCCTCGCCTTGTGCACCAGCCACGGTGCCTGGCACACAGTAGGTGCTCAAGAAATGTTTGTTAAAAGGATGAAAAAAAATTAATACAGTCAGAAAATGGTGGTGGCTTGGGCAAGGTGGTTGTAGTACAGGACATGAGAAGTAGTCTAATCCTTCATTTTTCAGGTTGAGCAAACAGTATTTGTTGCCGCACTAGCGGTGGACTATGAGAAGAAAGAGCAGAGGTGGCCCCAGAAAGTTTGATCTGAGAAAATATAAAACTGAGTTTTCATTTTCTGGATTAAGCAACCACTGTCAGGAGAGAGAATAGGTTTAAGGTAAAAGACAGGCGCTACCTTTTGTGCATAGGAAATTTGAGAGGTAAGCAAGGTGCCCCGGTAGAAGTGTGAGGTAGTTAGTTGGCAGGGTAACCGGCCAGGCAGTACTGAAAAGCTCAGCAGCAGGCAATAACCTTGAGGGAAGCAGGAGTGGGAGGAGGCATCGGAGCAGAGCAAAGGGACGGTGCTGATGCAGATGGACCACTGCAGCACTCCGTATTTCCAGGCAGTTCCGCTTTACAGGCTTGTCAGCCTCGGGGCGCCTGCACAGCCTCCACGTTACCAGCGCAGTTCCCGCTGAGAGCAGGGGGCACTGCTACTGTGAACCTGGGCATCCATGAAGGACTTGCTGAAGCGGGGGAGGGGAGGTGGGATCATCAGAGCATGGGGGACAGGAAGGTTACGGTACCTGGGAGAAGCCATGTGGCTTCCATAGAGCCAGGGGCACACGTTTGCGCTAATCGCCACATCACTTCCCAGGGAGATACAGAACTCCTGTTCACTTGCTGTCTGCGTATTCATTTGTTCCACAAACCTCCACAGCCTGGGGTACAGGTAGTCCAACACTGAAAAGTACCCAGAAGCAGGAGATGTGCCAGGTGCAGGGTACTGTCTTATCCAATTCAAAGTCAAGGTCTTTTACCCAGACAAAGGAATTTAACTTTTAACTCACTTATCTGAGTTTGAATGAGCAGGTATTAAAGTGGCCATGTGCACCCTTTAGCTGATAGTTTTTCATCTATGTTTGTAGGCACACGTTCTTATATGCATGTATTTCAATATATGTGCCTGTGAAATGAACACAGTAGAGAGGAGAGAAGGGATAGATATTTTGGCTTGTCACATCCACATTAGCTTTCTTTGCGGTGCTCTTAACTTCACACGTCCAGAGAGGGGATGACAGGCACAGCCTGAGTGCTGTCGGGGGGGGGGGGGGGGACTTCAATAGCCATGGGATTATTACCCACCGCCAATGCTGAAGTGACTATGTCTCCAATGTTAAATCATTTTGGGATGCACTCAGAACATGCTGCCCAGAGCTTCCTATATTGCCAGAGGCTTGGAGTGTTGAAGGTGTGTATAGCTAAGATATTTGGGGGGGGGGGGCAGAAAGAACTACGGGCAGAGAAAGATCAGAGACAGTGCCATGGTGTTGTTAGAGTTGTCCCGAATGCTGCCTTCATCTGGCTTGCCACCAGCAATTTTACATTTCGGCACTTTTACCAGGTGTGGCTAGCAGCCCAAGCCTCAAGCCTAACATAACAAGAAACAAAGGGTCTCTAGGACAGAGATTAGGTATCTCAGACCGCATGCTGGGATCACAGCTGTCAGGTACAAATGTCAGTCCACTTCATAGCATAGATGATTTTAGTTTTATCCAGTGCCACATGCACTAAAGTATCGGGCCAAAGAAATAAGCAAGAGAGGTCTGAAAATTGCTAGATCTTTATATGGACTGTCTCAGAACTCTCAGAATCCCACTGTGACTTTATACTCTTCATTGCATTAAGGGATGTCTAGCTTGCTGATAAAAATACTAGTTTGGGATGTGGACGTTATATACGCACGCGTGTGCAAAGGTGTTTCTGAAACCTGACAGCATTTGGGTAAGAAGACTGAGTTAAGTTCAACCTTCACCAGTGTGGGTGGGAGTCAACCTGAAGAAGACTTGGAGGGACCAAAAAGGCAGAACAAGGCAAATTCACTGTCTCCTGGAGCTGGGATATGGTTATTTTGCCCTCAGATGGAGTTCCATGTTCTCAGGCCCTTGAGCTCGGAGACTTACATTAGGTTTTCTGCTTTGACAAATGCCAGCCACACACTGTAGGACTTTCAGATTCCACAATTTCTGGAGTTGATTTCCACAATAAGAAAAAAAAAAATCCCATCTGCCCTCGCCCCCACTTTCTCTCTTGTATTGGTTCTGTTTCTCTGGAAAACATGTATACCTACACAGAGAACATTATGTTGTTCGCTGAGGTGTGGAAATGACAACCCTTTTTTTTTTAATAATACATCATCAGGTGCCTTGCGTTTTTCTTCATTATTTGGTTGCTTCTGCCCTGCCCTGTTTTTCTGCCATTGCTCTCTCTAGCACTGGAAAGCTATGCCAAATCTAAAGTATTGACTAATTCTATTTTATACTGTAAAGGAAAGAAAGGGGGTGTGGCCCATAAACCCATGCAAGCCTCCTCCTGCTTTGGTGGAACAGCCAGAGCTACACATTGCTGTATTGATCCCACCCACGCTCTGCCAAGTCGAAATGCTGATTTATGAGTAGCAAAGTAGCAAAATCACTCACAGAAAGAAAAGTAGGTTTATTGACAAAAAATATGTTGTCCCTTGTAATCAGAAGAAAACCCCACAGGCGCTGTCCTTTTTTTTTTTTTTTTTTTTTAAAGAAAATAATTGTAGCTTGTCAGAGCCGAGTGTAGGCCGTAATCCTGGAAGGCGCAGATTGAACAGCACAGTTCTAATGATAAAACCTTGAAAAATATAAATCCCCAAGTCAAAAGTACTGAAAATATGATTCCGGGAAAAATAAATACTCTGTAAAGATTTTTATTTATATTATTGAAGGGATATTTATGTAAGAAATATTTATAAAACTTCAATACTTTGTAGATTACTTTACCAGATCCAGAGGTAAATAAGAAGGGATATTTTTGCAAGCATAAACATTGAGCTATCCAGCCACATGAGCAGAATAGTTATGAGCAAGTAAGCCATATTTATAAAGAAATGGGTAAAAAAGTACAAACGTATATCACCATGGTTAATTGTGTGCACATAGCTTTATAATTGTGGCCGTGAACATGACCACAATAGCAATCCAAATCTTCAGACAAGACTGGCCAAACCCTAACACATAGGCAGGCACTCAAAGAGCCCAGAGTCTGAGTCATCCCACTTTTCATGAATGCAGACACATAAGAGAGACGTCTATTCATCAGTTTAGGATGTTTCAGCACTAGGATGTACTTGGATAATGCTTCTATGCACCGCATGCACTTAACGTTAGGATAATACACTTTCATGAAATCTAATTTGCAAAAATGATGTGTTAGAATAAATGAGTAGGTGTACTGGCATAAATCCTAGAGTCCATAGCCGGTGGGCTTGACATCCTGATATCCCCAGAAGCAGAAGCCAACCGTACCACTCAGAGAGACCAAGTCACTGTATTTATTCTTTCCAAGTGTCTGCGGGGTGAATGGTGCCACCTACCCTGACAGAGGATTTTCCCTTAACTTTTCCTCTCTCCACAAACCCCTTCACAACACCGCAAATAGTGCTTTAGTGAATTGCTAGGTGTTTGCTCTGTCTAACCTGATGCAACTCTCTTGCATGCCACCAACAACACATCCCTCCTTATCCAGAATTCAGCCTGCTGTGCCCCACTCTCTCTAAGGGTACTTCATTTTTCCTTTATTTTCTCAGTTTTTATTAATTCATTGAAAATTTTGTGCCATGTGCCATGGTCACGTTTACCATCCTCTCCAAGTCCTCCTAGTCCCACTCCCTTGGCTATCCACTCGAATTGAGTCCTCCTTTTGTCTTAAATCTATCAAGTGTGGTTTGTGCTGCCCATATATCCATGGCCTTCCACTGGGGTCTGGTGAGCCTACCAGGAATTACACTCTTAAAGCAAACCGACCTTCTCTCTCCTAACAGACATTTACTGCCAATAGTGTCTTAGCTAGGGGTAGGCCTTCAAGACTATTTCCCATCTCCACCATGAGCTTGTCAGGGCCTGGTGCATGCTCTCACGACCACTGTGAGTTCTATGTGTGACTGGCTTGTTTGTACCCTAAAATACTGCTTCTTTGTAGTCACCTACCACCTCTGGCTATTAATATGTTTTACTCCCTTTTTCACAATGATCCTCAAGTATTGGGAGGAGGAGTGTTATATAGATGTTCCATTTAGGACTGAGCTCTCCGTAATCTATTATTTTGTTCATGGTGATCATTTGTGGGACTCTGTGCTCAATTTCCACCTATTGTAAATAGAAACTTCTCTGATAAAGGTTGGGAGATACATTAAACTGTAGGTATAACAATAAGTCATTTGGTGTCAATGTAATACTGTATTTATTTAACAAAGTGCCTGCAGTGTGCTCTCCACTGGTGGTGATGACCTGTCTAGCCACAGGTTCTCAATTCCAATATTGGTGTCAGGGATGGGTTTCAACCTGTGGCTCTTAAATCCAATCAGAGAGTGGTTGGTTACTCCCATGATGTTCATGCTATTAATGCTAATGGGCATGTCAGCCATGTTGGGTCTTATTGTAGCTCACAGCATTCACAGATGCAAATGATAGGTGATTATTACACTCCTCTGGTGGTATGCATGGGATCTTCCAGCACAATGAAAGCTAGTCAGGAGGGATGAAGCTTTTAGGTGAGAGCCAGCTTGATTTCTCCATATTCGAAGACTCAACTATGTGTTGTCTTTGACAATAGGGTCTTACCATCAAGTTATAGAGTGTGACCAAGAGCACTGGCAATAGCTTACAAAATTTGGAGATCTATGGAACCTCACAGGCCAAAAATGCCAAATAAATTCCTGGCACCAGGATATTTTGGGGGGGGGGGGCGTTTAGCCTAGGTTTCCATAGGACTGCTTTGAAATGTCTTTTGTAATAGTTAACCCTCCCTCTATTGCCCTCCTCTCCCCCACTTTCCTGTTCCTTTATTTCCCTTTAACGCTTTATATCACAGCATTCTATCTCCCCTCTCTTGAATTCCCCAAATCGCCCTTTACTAGATCCCTAACTTCTAAGGCTATTCCCACAACATGATAAAAGCAATATACAGGAAACCCATTGCCAACATCTTTCTAAATGGAGAAAAAAAATCAAAGCATTTATACTAAAATCAGTAACAAGACAAGAATTCCTACTCTCCCTCCTCATGTTCAATACAGCAATCAAAGTCTTAGCTAAAGCAATAAGACAAATAAAGGAGATAAAGGACTACAAACAGGAAAGGAAGAAGTCAGGGTATCCCCATTTGTAGATGGTATGATTCTGTACACAAGAGGCCCCAAAGGCTCCACCAGAAATCTCCTACATCTGATAAACACTTTCTGAGAAGTATCAGGGTATGAAATTAATACACAAAAACCAGTAGCTTTTCTCTATACAAAGGACAAACGTACTGAAAAAGAGATCGGGAAGCACTACCATTGGCAATAGCCTTAAAAATATCTGGAATAAATCTAGCCAAGAAAGTGAAAGCTTTGTACAATTCAAAGTTTCAGAAAATGGAAAAAAGGAATTAAAAAAGAAACCAGAAGGTAGAAAGACTTTTTATGCTTGTGGAGTGGTAGGATTAATATTGTGAAACTGGCTACATTGCCAAAGGCAATTAACATATTCAGTGCAATCCTCATCAAAATTCCAAAGCAATTCTTCACAGAAGTTGCAAAAATAATCTTAAATTTCATGTGGTAATAAAACAATCCAGGATAGCCAAAGCAATCTTGAACAATTAAAGTAAAACAAATAACAAGCTGGCGGTATCGCCATCCCAGATTTCATATGGTACTGCACTCATGGTAATAAAAGCATCAGGACACTGGCATCAAAACAGATTTGTTAATCAATGGAATAAATTGAAGACCCACATATATTTCTACACTCCCGTAGTGATCTGATACTTTATGAAGTGGCCAGCAATACATTTGAGAGATAAGACAAGATCTTCAACAAATGGTACCAGTCAAACTGAATAATTATGTGTAAAGGAATGAAACCAGAACTTTATCTCTTACCTTGCACAAAACCAAATTCTAAATGGATTTAGGACCTCAGCCTAAGACCTGATAACCTGAATCCTATAAAGGAGAAAGTCAGGAATATACTTGAGCTTGTTGGTAAAGGAAAGGATTTTCTGAACAGAATCCCGATAGTGCAGTCATAATTGCATCATGACCAACAATATAATAAATGTGACCTCATAAAGCTAAAAAGCTTCTATACAGCCAAGTATGCCGTAATTCAACTGAAGAGGCAGGGTACAGAATGGGGGAAAATCTTTATCTATAAAGGTTAGTTTCTAGACTAACTAAAAAACTCAAAAACTAAACATCAAGGAAACAGACAACCCAACTAACACACAGGGCACAATAGGAAACATTGGGCATAACACATGAGCACAACAGAAAGCTCTCAAAAGACAAAGCACAAATGGCTGAGAAATGTTAAAAAATGTTCAACATCTTTTACTATCAGAGACATTAAAACTACATTGAGATTTCATCTTATCCTAGTCAGAATAGCTAAGATAGAGTAGAAGGCAAAACAAAAAACAAATGATAATAAATGCTGGTGTGGATTTAGGGAGTGGGGAACACTAATTCGCGGCAGGTAGGAGTACAACCAGCATGACCAATATGGAAATCAGCGTGGAGTTTCATCCCAAAGCTGTAAATAGACCCACCACATGATCTTGCTATAACACTCTTGGGCATATACCCAACAGACTCTATAGCCCTCTATAGATATGCCCTGTCATTCATATTCATTGCTGCCCTATTCACAATAGCCAGGAAATAGAAGCAGCCAAGATGTCCATTAACTTATGAATGGATAATGAAAATGTGGTACATATACACAATGGAATTATATTCAGCTGTTAAGAAAAAAAAGAATTATGAAATTCACGGGTAAATGGATGGAGCTAGATACAATCATTTTGAATGAAGTAACCTGGACCCAGAAAGACAAAGATTGAATGTAAATGTTTCCATTCATTTGGGGATGGTAGCTTTGAATCTTCAGGTACATGACGCCTTTCTCATATGGCTTCTTTCTCTTTTTTTTTCCAGTTGATTTGCTTGTAGCTTAAGAAACTTTAGCTTTCAGAATTTCAACTTTGGGATTGTCATTATAGTGACAGTGATATTCAGGACTTTGGACTTTGGGTCTTTCAGGCCATTAGCATCTAGGATCCAGAATTTGCGCTGAGAATATTAAGAGTCATCCATATGTAGGACAGCCTTCTGAAGGGCATCTAGTCAGTCAAAGAAGAGAGCTGGTGGGTGAGAGTCAGTGCTTTGCTACATCATGTGGTTTTGACATTTTGAGGTTCTGGTAGGTAACACAGGCCCAGAAATGAGGCCTTTATAACCAGCTTGAGCCCCAAAGCAAAATGGTGGCATCCATTGTGTGTGTGTGTGAAAGAGGAGTGGGGTTCATGGTGATTTATGTGACTAGTTCATGCATTGTCCCAGGGGTAGAGTCAAGGACTTCCTGACAGGAAGCATGGGACTCCAGGAGGAATTTGGGGTCTAAAATTTGCTTCTTTACAGCTTCTGCTCCTTCTTAAATCCAATCTTTTCATATTTGGGGCATGTTAAAACTATTACTGAAGAAATTAAATGATGGATGATGACAACATATGAATGTGATGAGAGAAAGCAAGATAAACAACGATTAACAAAAATAGTCAAGTATTCTGTTAGTGGGTTTGCATTGGGAAATTTGAATCCTAGAGAAGAGATGACATATATTGCTGTCTAATACATTTGTGGGATGAAACATTGAGGGGATGTCTTTGGCTTTTTCTCGACCTCTACTTGTATCCTTCCTGTCTTATGATCTCCCTGAGTCCCCTGTGTGATGCCCAGCCCATCTCAGTACCAATGAAATCCTTCCCAGGTCCTGCCTTGCCCTTGCTTCCTCCAAGTTCAGATCCTGCACCTTTCTGATGATCCTTGGTACTACACCGAGCTTCACTAATGAAGTTATAGTTCCTCTTACAAACTGGAAAAGCACACTACATAGCCACATTATCCCTGTGGTCATCCTGCACTGGCTTAAGAAATGACTTCCTAACATGTGAGGTAGACAGGAACACGCTATAATCAATAAAGTGATACTCTGGGCTTCCCACAACTAATTCTAAACAGTGCTCTGAATATAAACTGGTTACACAAGAACTTAATTTCTCCTACTTTGATTTCCAAATCCATAGTTGTATGCAGTCCCTAATGCTCAATTTGGAGAGATTCAGTGAACCTGTACATTACAATGAATAACGCCACAATCAGCTCCTGAGCCCCTGAAGCTGTTAAGCCTCAATATATGTTTTTAATATTAGTTGATATGGATTTAATATAAACCAAGTATCCCAGTTAATTAAATGTGTTGCTAGGAAAAATTTCAAAGCTTAATTCAAAGTCATATTCAAAGGCCTTGGGTGTCATTGTAACATCACTGGAGTATTGTTGGTTCATCTTGGATGAATAATAAGCACCAGGACAGTGAATGGTTGCATTTCCTGTATTTCCCAAAACCAGCTATTTACAAAACGTCTTCATATCTTTAAAGTATCTTCCTTGTAACCCCCTGCCCCCCTCCCCACTTCAGAATCTAAACAAAACCACAAGTACACTATTACACAGCACAGGAGGGTGGCAGCAGTTTACAACAGTTTACTATATACTTCATAAAGAGCTGGAGGAGACCAGTTTGAAGGCTCTTAACGCAAAGGAATGATCTATGATGGAGGACATGGAAGGGCCGGTTGTTCTGATTTGATTGTCATACATTGCTCACATGCATTACATAGCACATGTGCAATTATTCTGTCAATTAAAAAGTTAAAAGGGGGTTGAGCATGGTGTAGTATGCCTTTAGCAGGAGGGCAGAAACCATTTAGCACTGGACATAAAGCTAAACAATTTGATAATTTCCTTGCTGGGTTTTGGTCTGGCTTCTGTCCACTATTCCCCCACTATTTCCCAATTCCTTCATCTTAAAATTGGTGATGTATATCCTGTGCCATTAAATGTTGGAAGTGTGCAGTTTTCACTTTGATTTTTACAGGGGATTACAGTGAAGAGATCCCCTGGAGTCTCAGGATAAACTTTGAACTTCAGAATTTAAATGGTGTTGAGACTATAATACTATGGGGACATGTGAAATTGGACTAAATGCATTTTGCATTATGCTGTTACCACAAGACTATGAGACCCGGGGAGTGCAGTGGGGTGATTTGAATGAGATGACCTCCACATTCTCAGACATTTTAATACTTGGTCCCCATCTGATGATGCTGTTTGAGAAGACGTAGGGGGTGTAGCCTTGCTGGAGAACATGTGTTACTAGGGAGTAGGCTTTGAGGTTTCAAGGACTATACTCCATTCCTAGATTGCTCTCTCTATTACTGTTTGCTGTTTGAGATGAACACACTCAAGCATTTCTGCTACCATGCTTCCTTGTTGTTATGGTGACGGGACTCATCATTCTCCAACCATAAGCCCCAAATAAGCCCTTCATTCTGTAAGTTGCCTTGGTCATGGTGTTTTGTTCCTGTAGAAAATAATACAACATGCTTGTTGATGGAATGCCTGTCCTTACACTTATTTATTTACTAACACTTAAAATTATTTGTTCCAATTGAGTAAAATAGAGAAATATACAAAATAACAGTCAACCACAGTAGAAGACAGATCTCATTCATGACTAAGCTGGCCTGTTGTGTTCTTTACTCTCATGAGTCTATGAGTTGGTGCCTGACAGAAAGAAGAGAGGACTGATTCATGTTGGCACATAGTTTCAGAGGGTCTTCGTCTGTCATGTGGGAAGGCATGATAGAATGAGTACATGATGGAGAGTCCTCACGAGGTGCTGTACCAGCTACAGAGAGCAGAGGCCAGAAAGAGGTACAGTAAAACTCCACTCAGAACCTGTAGCAAACATCTATAATTATAACAGATCCCTGAGCTTAGCATCAGAAATCCTGGCAGGAGAATTCATTTATATAGTCCTCAGATATTTGTTTTTGAATTAAAAATGTTCTTATACAACTTAATTACCTTTCTCCAGTTTCTCCCAGACCCTTCCTATATCCTTACCCACCCAACTTTATGCTTTCTCTCTCTTTCTCTTTAAAAAAACAAATAAAAATAATCAACACCTCTAGAAAACCACAAAATATGGAAATCAAAATAAACAAGAAAAAGGCCAGTAAGACAAAAAAAAGTTCAAACCAAGGAAAAGTAGACAAAGAAAAGTGTACAGAAATACCACTGAGCTCATTTTGTGTTGGTCAACTACTCCTGGGCATGTAGTTAACATACTCAGTGAGACTCTATTAGAGAAAACTGATTTTTTTCCTTTGCTAGTAGGAAGCAGTTACAGCTAGCTTCTCACTTAGGGATGAGAGCTTGTGTTCACTTCTTTCTCTCAATGCACCCTTTTTGGCTTAAATCTCTGCAGGCCTTTCATGTTTTATCCCATTGTCTGTGACCTCATATATGCTTCAGTCCTGTTGTGTCTGTAAAACACCATCTCTTTGGAATAATCCATCACTTTGGACTGCACGCTCCAAAGTCTCTCCTCTGCACATTGTCCAGTTGTAGGCCATTTGTAGTTAGTTCCCAGCTACAGCAATATAAGCTTCTCTGGTGAGGGCTGATCCAGGCACTGATCTATATGGCTATAGCAGTATGTCATTAGGAATCATTTTATTGTCATTTCTTTAATAGTATTAGGGTTTTCCATTAGACTATGACCTATAGTCCCAGGTTTTTGGTTTCACTAACAATGTCAGGTATGTATTCCCTCTCATGGAATAGACCAATCAGAAAGTGGTTGGCTACTCCCATAACATCTGTGACACTATTTCATCACTATATTTTGTAGGTAGGTAGCTAATGTTGGTCACAGGGTTTGGAGCTGAAAGACACTGATGATTACTTTTCTCTTCTAGTATCAAGCAGGGTACCTTATATGTTATGAATAATAGTAGGCGTGAAGTTTCTAGTTAGGTACCAGCTCGACTTTTCCATTTTTGATGACATAAGTAAGTATTGTCTTCTGCAGTAGGGTGTTACCAGTGGATATGGAGAACAACCAACAACCTTGGCAACAGCCTGTGATGATTGGAGGTTTCCATGGGGCCTCTTTGGCCAAGATGCAACAAGATATAACCCTTTACTGATACTGGAAGCTTTACCACTTGGCATAAGGTGTCTAGTTGTGGCATTTCCCCGTGCTGCTTAATGGTTGTATGTAGAACCCTTTCATATATGTACATATG